GTACTGCAGGATACGGTGACCTTCTAGAGGGGCATACCTCGCCCTAGCACTGATCCTGATCGTACTGCAGGATACGGTGTCCTTCTAGAGGGACATACGTCGCCCTAACACTGATCCTGATCGTACTGCAAGATACGGTGACCTTCTAGAGGGGCATACGTCGTTCTTGCACTGATCCTGATCGTACTACAGGATACGCTGACCTTCTAGAGGGACATACGTCGCCCTAGCACTGATCCTGATCGTACTGCAGGATACGGTGACCTTCTAGAGGGACATACGTCGCCCTAACACTGATCCTGATCGTACTGCAAGATACGGTAACCTTCTAGAGGGGCATACGTCGCCCTAGCACTGATCCTGATCGTACTGCAGGATACGGTGACCTTCTAGAGGGACATACGTCGCCCTAACACTGATCCTGATCGTACTGCAGGATACGGTGACCTTCTAGAGGGGCATACGTCGTTCTTGCACTGATCCTGATCGTACTACAGGATACGCTGACCTTCTAGAGGGACATACGTCGCCCTAGCACTGATCCTGATCGTACTGCAGGATACGGTGACCTTCTAGAGGGACATACGTCGCCCTAACACTGATCCTGATCGTACTGCAGGATACGGTGACCTTCTAGAGGGGCATACGTCGTTCTTGCACTGATCCTGATCGTACTACAGGATACGCTGACCTTCTAGAGGGACATACGTCGCCCTAGCACTGATCCTGATCGTACTGCAGGATACGGTGACCTTCTAGAGGGACATACGTCGCCCTAACACTGATCCTGATCGTACTGCAGGATACGGTGACCTTCTAGAGGGACATACGTCGTTCTAACTCTTATCCTGCAAGGAGCTGGTAGGCTCCATGTGCCTCTGGCACGTGCATTTCGCTCCATGGTGGCTCGGATGACGTGCACCCCGAGGCAGATACCAGATGCCCATTTCTGATCAAGAAACCAGTAACCTGTCTCAGCTGTAGCCAGTCACAAACGGATCAACTCTTCTTCTTAACGGCAATATTATTGTCAACTCCATATGCAGCTCTGCTAGAAAACCACACTCCTCAGCTGCTTCGAATTCTGCTGGCGTGGAATGTTTTTTCGTCTAAACATAGGGTAGGGGAAACACGTCCTCGTTGTCGACCACGACGCGTGGACGTGAAGGCAGGCGTCCCTCATAAGGTTCGTGACATGGTGACGGGTGATGACTGGCGTGGGAAGTGATGTGGTAAGATCTTTGGTAAGTAATGTAGCACTGTCCTACAAGGCACCAGTAGCAGTGTCCTCGACACCTCCTCTGATGTCACGAAACACAGACGAACGTGCATTAGTCATCGTGCCAGCCACGTGTGGCCAAGGAGACATGTTTATCTGAGGCGTGTTGAATATCAATGCATTTATATCGACTTCGTCCTTCCCGTGGCAGCTGCAGGGGTTACATTATCTTATCGGGATAGAGTGATCTCCCTTGCACTGCTCACAGCAACAGTCTAGCATTATGATAGCGCTGATAATCTGAAATCACACATTGTGATCACAGAGGGCTGGGGCTGGGGTGACCAGGGTGGGGGTGGGGGTGGGGGTATTGGTGGAGTGATACCTGTCTGTCTATCTGTGAGACAATACTATGAAAAGCCGTTGAGAGCAGTACAAAAATCACACATTGTGATCACAGGGGGCTGGGGGGACAATGGAGGGATACCTGTCTGTCCGTCTATCTGTCTGACCACACTATGAAAAGTCGTTGAGAGCAGTACTCAAAACTTGCAGTCTAATCACGTGATTGTACCGGTAATAGTGTTTACCCTTTAAAACCTCTTCATTTTCACTGAGTTTAGTTCTCGTTGTTTACACCCGACTTCTGCTTGTGGAGTACTACGGGTATTTTAGACTAATCGTGTCTGCGATGTATTCTGTTTGTGAATGTATTTTAGTGATGTCACTGTTTCAGGTCACGTGCTACATGTAAGTTCTCTCATGAAGCCATTCACCTGTCGCCCGGAACAACAGAGAACTGTTATCATCACACTGCCATGGAATAACAAATTTTGATCAGGCCATCGTGAACTGTACACTGATATTATCCTGTGATCTCCATACATCCTAAAATATAAAGGATGATCTTCATACAGCACAACAGATACTATCATGTGATCTTCATAAAACACGACGTATAATATATGACCTCATTACATCCCAATATACCACAGGTGATCCACATACAGCACCACATATAACATCATGCGATCTGTACATGCAAAACAACAGATGATGTATGTTCTACATTCAGCACCACAGATGGTATCATGTGATCAACATACATACAGCACCACAGATGGTATCATGTGATCAACATACATTCAGCACCACAGATGGTATCAAGTGATCAACATATATACAGCCCCACAGATAGTATCATGTGATCAACATACATTCAGCACCACAGATGGTATCATGTGATCAACATACATTCAGCACCACAGATGGTATCATGTGATCAACATACATACATGGTATCATGTGATCAACATATTCAGCACCACAGATGGTATCATGTGATCAACATACATACAGCACCACAGATGGTAGATGTGATCAACATACATGTGGTATCATGTGATCAACATATATACAGCCCCACAGATGGTACCATGTGATCAACATACATACAGCACCACAGATGTCATGTGATCAACATACCACAGATACAACATAAATAGAGCCCCACAGATGGTATCATGTGATCATTCAGCACCACAGATGGTATCATGTGATCAACATACAGCACCACCACAGATGGTATCATGTGATCAATCATACATACAGCATATCATAGATCAACATATCATGTGATCAACATACATACAGCACCACAGATGGTATCATGTGATCAACATACATACAGCACCACAGATGGTATCATGTGATCAACATATATACAGCAGATGGTATGATGTGATCAACATACATTATCATGTGATCAACACCACAGATGGTATCATGTGATCAAACATACATACATACAGATGGTATCATGTGATCAACCATACAGCACCACAGATGGTATCATGTGATCAACATACATACAGCACCACAGATGGTATCATGTGATCAACATATATACAGCACCACAAATGGTATCATGTGATCAACATACATACAGCACCACAGATGGTACCATGTGATCAACATACATACAGCACCACAGATGGTATCATTTGATCAACATATATACAGCCCCACAGATGGTATCATGTGATCAACATACATACAGCACCACAGATGGTACCATGTGATCAACATACATACAGCATCACAGATGGTATCATGTGATCAACATACATTCAGCACCACAGATGGTATCATGTGGTCAACATACATACAGCACCACAGATGGTATCATGTGATCAACATATATACAGCACCACAGATGGTATCATGTGATCAACATATATACAGCCCCACAGATGGTATCATGTGATCAACATACATACAGCACCACAGATGGTATCATGTGATCAACATATATACAGCACCACAGATGGTATCATGTGATCAACATATATACAGCCCCACAGATGGTATCATGTGATCAACATACATACAGCACCACAGATGGTACCATGTGATCAACATACATACAGCACCACAGATGGTACCATGTGATCAACATACATTCAGCACCACAGATGGTACCATGTGATCGACATACATACAGCACCACACATAATATGTGATTGATATACATCAAAACACTGTCCCGCCAAGTCGACATTTGGTGTTCTCATGCAAGGAAGCTCCACTTATCCAGGGAACTATGGACCTGTCACATGACAGGAAGCTCCACTTATCCAGTGAGCTATGGACCTGCAACATGACAAGAAGCTCCACTTATCCAGGTAACAATGGACCTGTCACATGACAGGAAGCTCCACTTATCCAGGGAACTACGGACCTGACACATGACAGGAAGCGCCACTTATCCAGGGGCCTATAGATCTGTCACATGACAGCAAGCTCCACTTATCCAGGGAACTATGCACCCCTCACATGACAGGAAGCTCCACTCATCCAAGGAGCTATGGAACATTCACATGACAGGAAGCTCATCCAGGGAACTATGGACCCGTCACATGACAGGGAAGATCATAAATAATAGGTGTTGCTATACATTTTACTATCAATATATATTTCAACAGTTACTGGCCATACATACTTCTATGTGTGTACGTATGCTTCGAAGGAGGCCTCTTGTTTAATGAATGAAGTCTTAGACCAAATGGAATTGGAATGTTTTACTTTTCTGGTCTTCAGATAAACTTGCAGTCTTTTGTAACAGATGGAAGTCCTAACCCACCTTGTTTCAGGATAAGAGAAAACTTACTTATTGGTTACCGTTGTTGTGCCAAACTTCAAAGTCATTCTTAATCATGCGTACCAAAGATGGGGTTTCATTTATTCCTTAAAATATGTCAACAGACAGATATTCATTTATTCCATCAAATGCGTCTAAAGACAGAACTGGAATTCATTTATTCCATTAAATCTGTCAAAAGACAGGCATTCGTTTATTCCATCAAATGCGTCAAAACACGTGTTCATTTATTCCATCAAATGTGTCAAAACACGTGTTCATTTATTCCATCAAATGCGTCAAAACACGTGTTCATTTATTCCATCAAATGTGTCAAAACACGTGTTCATTTATTCCATCAAATGCGTCAAAACACGTGTTCATTTATTCCATCAAATGTGTCAAAACACGTGTACATTTATTCCATCAAATGTGTCAAAACACGTGTTCATTTATTCCATCAAATGCGTCAAAACACGTGTTCATTTATTCCATCAAATGCGTCAACAGACAGGCATTCATGTATTGTATCGACTCGTACAGGCACATACTAAGGTAAAGAGTTTCTGGAGAATGCACAGATGTTCAGTTATTCCACGAGCGGTGTTCATGAGTTGCTTCGTATAAGACACAGATGTTCAGGTATTCCAGGAGCAGTGTTCATGAGTTGCTTCGTATAAGACACAGATGTTCAGTTATTCCACGAGCGGTGTTCATGAGTTGCTTCGTATAAGACACAGATGTTCAGTTATTCCACGAGCGGTGTTCATGAGTTGCTTCGTATAAGACACAGATGTTCAGTTATTCCACGAGTGGTGTTCATGAGTTGCTTCGTATAAGACACAGATGTTCAGTTATTCCACGAGGGGTGTTCATGAGATGCTTCGTATAAGACACAGATGTTCAGTTATTCCACGAGGGGTGTTCATGAGTTGCTTCGTATAAGACACAGATGTTCAGTTATTCCACGAGCAGTGTTCATGAGTTGCTTCGTATAGGACACAGATGTTCAGTTATTCCGAGCAGTTTTCATGAGTTGCTTCGTATAAGACACAGATGTTCAGTTATTCCACGAGGGGTGTTCATGAGTTGCTTCGTATAAGACACAGATGTTCAGTTATTCCACGAGCGGTGTTCATGAGTTGCTTAGTATAGGACACAGGTTTTCAGTTATCCATTAAGGCACTTATGTGTTGAGCCACAAGACAAAATATCTGGGACCCTCTGAACGAGAGCGTGTAACAAACAGTGCCCTCGGGACACCGGGTGTTACCGCCTCTCGTTCATGACATCGCTATCCAACCTGGATATACAAAGTCGCTATCATAATTGGGATACCATCTGGACATCTCCGTGTTGTTTCGGTACGGATGTTTATAATACACAGTTGTCCCCCCTGCCAGAAACCCAGCCCACCAACCAAAAGTCCCGACACTTAATATAGTATGGTTACACATGCTCAATACGCAGAGATCCACTTCCGCCGAGTCCCTCTGCACTACCACAACATCCGGTGCGCCGATATTACGGTTTACCCAACTTCCGTCATCTCCCGCAACAACAAACAACGTGTTGGGGAATATAGCTCGGAAATACCTCATGGCATGGATGTAGTACTCCGCTGGAGGAGTGATACGTCCCTGGCGTCTACTCATTGACGATAAATAGTCCCCACGTCTGACATGCATCCCAATATAGGTCAGGTTCACGGACAGTGTAGCTGACACATTCTCAACCCTGTGTAAATCCTGCTTCACCTCTCCTGTAGCGTTTGACAGTTCCCTCATTAGTCGCGTCCCGTCCTTCATTCTTCTCAAGAACTCTAGTTTAACTGACACTAGCTTGTTGACCGCCCTGTCGGCAATGGAAGGTTTAAAAGTAAATTGTCTCCTTATGCTCTCCTCGACTGGGTGAAAAAACTTCCATGACTGGAGATACTGGCCTACGCTCTGGCAAGTGCTGCTGTCGAGTCGTGTCACCAGGTGATCATCGTAAGAACAGCAGGGAGCGTTTACGGGATGCCAGCCACCACACCTCTTTGACGTCACAGTGGCCATGTCGAGGGGAAATAGGCGGTTGAGGATGTGAACACTGGGTACGTACAAGGACATGTTCTTCGCCCTCGCTAGGGCGTACGTTGAGGCGTATTCAAACATCTGGTTGCCAAGGCGACCATTAAACTGAGGAGTAAGAAGGGGCATCTCTGTCCAGGGCTTCATCACTGTTTTACCGCCCTGCTTCACTACGGTTTTTGCAGCTGGTGAAGAACGTGGGTTAATGACTGCTGCTCGCGTCCTCCCGATACGAACAGTATCAACACTTGGTGGTTTTGAAATCGTGGTTGTGTTCCTTTCGTTCTGTACTTGACTTCCGACGATTCTGTTGTTTCTTGCACTGAAGGTTTTGTAAACAAAGGCACAGTACACGAGGAGAATGTAAAGGGCGAGAACTCCGAGAAGCTTCAGGCCTGAAACAAAAGTATTTGGAATTAGATAACAGTACAGGGGTGGGGGTGGCGGTGGGTGTGAATGAAAGCAGCAGGTGAGCAGGTGATAGTGGGTCTGTAAACACAGTGGGAAGGGAAGGGAGGGGAGCGGTAACAGTGACTGATTGGTTCTCTGAACATGAACGTGGGGGTGTTTAGAGGGTGAGCTCTCCTGGCGCTCCCCTGGTTCTGTCCCCATTCTCTTCACATTCTCCAAGTCATTCTCCAGTCACTCTTCTGACACTTTCTGACGCTCTCCTGACATTCTCTTGTTACTGCTACATCTCTGATCAGCAACAAAAACTTATCGTTAGAAGCAACTAACGGGATCGGGTAGTCAGACTCACTGCCTTGGTTGACACGTGTCATCGTATCCCAGATGCGTAGATCAATGCTCATGATCACTGGATTGATCACTGGCTCGAATATTGCTGAGTGCGGCGTAAAACAACAAACAACACAGACAGGTCATGGAAGAATTACCAGACGCCTAGAGTTCTGATAGATAATGGCCGAATGTGACTAACCCCCTGGATGCCGAGGTTTTTTTTCAGGCGCACATTTATATAAGGTTTGAAAAGTGAACGTAGTGCGAGATTTGCGCTCGCGTGGTCCTGGATCTACGTACGGCTATGAAATTACACAGAAATGTAGAATATTTCCTATTCACTGGTATAAATATAAGAGCAAATACCTCTTCGGTTTGAGAAATAGACACTGCTAAATGTTGGTACTGCATTAAAAAACGGTAAATTTCACCGCTTACCGGCGCTTAGCTTCGACTTTTTTCCATTTGACATCTTTACGGAAAGTGTGAGAGAAGAAAATACAGCCTGATATCTGAACGACCTAAGTATATATGAAATGGGTGTGTATGTTTATGCATAACGTTATGCGCTCAATCTTCAAAATGGATTTTCTTCTGTGACGCCAAACGACGACAGAGAGATCATACACGTATAAAGATAAGGGGGCATAACTCCGCTATGCTTAACACTAGGCCAATGTAACTCAGATCACTTGGAGAGAATTCGTTGTGGATACGGACGCATTTTCGTGATGTTTTGTTTTCGGTAAACCAAATTTAACTATTCAAATACAAAGATCCCTAATGTGAGTGGATACGCTTTGGTAGGGTTCACAATTTATAAGAAAAGATGACAACGTACTACATTAGAAGTACGAAATAGCGATTTGGATGGCCCTATAAGATATGTAAATTAGTTCTTAGATACCAATACTCTCCTGTTTGTATAGATGTAGATGCATTAATATGTTGACTAATAGTGCATCATTACTAACAGAGTACTAGCCATATCTTCAGTCTCAGTAAACTTAAGCTCAGTATTATTCGTTACACTGCTATACTGAGTCTAACAAAACCTTATAGAAGGTCGAGTCAGCTAACCTTTTGGATTGACCAATCAGAACACAGCTTACCAAATCGCGACAGTTAACATTCGCACATACCGTTCGAACCTTTACCTCCAAATCCCGAACGATTCCGAATGCTATTTTCCGCACAATCACTTCCGAGTGATACAAGCAATGAGTAAACAGTCGCTGAAAATAGCGGTTTTGTCAATATTCAATGATGCCATCTTGCGAAAATATAAGCAAATAGTAACCATGTCATTAGAAACCCATAAGTGTATATACTGCAGGTCAAATGAGTTTTATGCGGATTTTCGTTTGTAGATAGATCAATCTCTGCCACCAGGGAAGAAAACATTCAAAAACCGTTTTGTAAGTCCCGCCGAACCCTAACAAGTAGTCGTTGTCTTATCGGATAAATCCGTTTGGTCGTCTCGCGTTTGATTGGACGGTCATAGGTCGCTCAAAGGTTAGCTGACGCGACCTTCTATAAGGTTTTGTTAGACTCAGTATAGCAGTGTAATGAATAATTCTGAGCTTAAGTTTACTTAGATTGGCCATATCTTCAAATGTAATGAAACTACTGAAAATATTACAACATTTTAATTGACGTCATTGCTTGTTTTATGTATTTTGCGACGTCGGCAAAAGACGACAGTGGTAGGCAGATTAGTACATTTTTTGTATCTCACCTAATTTCCATTAATTGTATAAAAGGTCTCGGCTTCTACGTCAGAATTTAACACTCTTCAGACAAAACATAACATGACTGATTTTGCCATTTAAATAGTGTCCTGAATATATCAACAATTAGACGGTTTGACTGTGTATCTTTTTGTGAGCAACACGCGCACCTGTTTGGCATCAATTTAACGTAAATTAAAAGTAATATTTCACTACACCCGAATATCTTTTCAGGATAACAATTTCCTTTGCTTTTGATTACACAACTAAGACTAACACTTGTGTCATGTGTCAATTTCTTATCTGAGGATTATTCAAACAATCAAAACCTTTCAAAGAAAAAAACATAAACTCTACCCACGTATGATATGATATTGGACGAGTCTAAATGTATATACTGAAATTAGTTTCATGTAAAAATGTAAAAAACGTTAATGTAAACGATACGATAAATATGGATGATAATACGGAATCTATTCTGGAGTAATCGGAGGGACATAGCTCAAATGCTGATTTACAACTTACTGCTAAGGCCACAGTTAATTATTACACCTTCATTAAAACTGTAAGGTGGGGAGAGTGTTTAACTTTGGACGATTGTGTTCAAGCGCTCTTGACCTCAAAGAAATTGCCTAATATTACAACAATGTTGACGTATGACATCACTACCGATGACCGATTTCTTACAAAATGGCGGCTTCGCTGACAAGGGTAAACAGGATTTTGCGAGGACCCTTCCCTTGATTCACGGATCGTTTGTGCATAAATATGAGATGTAAGTAATCAGAATGATTCTGACTATTAGTGTATTGTTATATACTTTTATCGTTTTCACTGTAAGTAAGAGCAGAAGCCAGAAATGCTGATAATTACCGTTGTCGTTCTGCGTGATTTTGCGTCAGTCATGGCGTCACGCTGCACGGACACTTATGAATTTTCAAATCATTGCAATGTATCTATTCTTAATTTCCTATTCCTTGCAGTGATACTCTTTCCATACATATTCCAAAGGTATTGAGGCATTGCAAGCAATGAATAGACGGCTGGATCTCGGAATATTTCAGAAAATACTACGAAGTGTAAAATCGGAATTTTCTTTGTTTTCAAACAAACGCAGTCTTTAGAGCACGGCGTACATTTTCACACCCAATATCTTTTCTATCATTTCATATAGACAGTCAGTATTGGTGACAAAGACCATTTGTTATTTGATTCTAAAATGTATGGGGAATTCAGTGATGCATTTTTCGAAGCTGAATATGAAATATACGTGATGTAACCGGCGTCTCAACACCGGCCTTCGCGAAACGTGATTTTGTAAACATTATCCAATATGGCGGAAAGCCACTAAGCTTTGGTGTAGTGTCGAAAACATCCCAACCGATTCTATGTTCATCAGGAACGTTTTAGAATTATCATCAGTGCTTTCATGAAAATCTTATATCAGTAATCATTAATATACTATTTTTGAAATTCAATACTCCGAGTAATTCACACATCAAAACATATACCAAATCGCTGTGAATTGCAATATCGTATTGTGTCAAAAATGACGACATTTACGATGAAGCCTATTTTGAAAGGTTATTTTAAGTACTTTAGCTTTGCCTGAGATAATAGTGTATGGTATCAAGAAACAGGAAACTTCCCACAGAATTCTAAACTGTGAAGCATATTTGCGTGCGTGATATATTTAGAATTCAAAGTGAGGGTTGGAAAGGATGGACATGTTTGTCCCTCTGGCACCCAGGGGGTCAACACAGTTCTACTCACACTGTCGAAGCAGCATCCCGCGGCGTGTCCAGACCCCGGTCACCCTTCTCCTGTTGGAAACAAGGAAATCATGATGATGATCAAGCGCTGGGCGAACCTCTGTCGCCGGCTGATGAAGTTGTTGCATGAGATGTGTTGTGTAAAGGTGCTCGTGGTTGTGAGCTTACAAGTTCGATGTCAGTGTTCCTCTGCCGAGGCGATAGATTTGCAACTAACTTTGATTGGTCAATATGTCACGTGATGCTTGCATTTAACTAGTGTTTGAAAATCGACGTGGAATGGTTGTGTTATATGTCCGTACTTGACCTGAAAACCAGAGTGTTCTATGTCCTAATAACCTAATTTCGAGAAAATCAATCTTAAAGTTTAGAACAACAATATTTTCAAAACTATTCGATCAATTCTTTGGAATTGTGCCTGTACATGCAGGTGTGTGTGTGTGTGTGTGTGTGTGTGTGTGTTTCGAACCCCCTGAAACCCCCACCCCCCATTGGCTCTGCCAACGCAAAAAAAAAATCTGCAATGTGGTCTGAAGTAATTTTCAAAGAAGGGGGCGTCGAACCCCCCTGAAGCCCCCCTCTGGATCCGCCAGTGACATGTGTTACATCAAAAGGATTTGGAAAATAACCAAAAGTATGTTAAAGCTCTTGAAATAAATTAGAAATTAAGGAAAAACGTTTAATCATTACTGTACGATTATTGTATGATTATTTCCCCTGTACCAGGTTGTATTTTTTGTTGTTTTAACTTGTTTTAGTTTCAAACTTTACCAATTCCATTAAATGACTAAGTGCAATGTTCCATTTGTATGTTTGTAACGATGATAATAACTTCCAGACTGTTCCATCTACATGTCACGTGATCAAACTGGATTTGCTGATTGGTCCAATAACCACTTAGAATACTCTGGAATTAACAATTTGTGTTATTTTATGGAGATAAAACAATGTAAAACCACTTTCTAGGCTCCATATCAAGGTGAAATTTTGCAAGGAAATGTGCAGTAAAACATACCTACAGCTTCCTAACTCAATTTTCACCAAAAGTGGGCATAGAACACTCTGGTTTCCAGGCGACGAACTATCATGCCTTTATGTGCAAACTGTTTGGAATGAGTGGTAATACAATGACGTATTTCCATGTTCTCATAAAGGTGATGGAACATCAGTCGATAGTACAGATGTGACATTAATGGAGGTAAAATCGACCATACTTCAACTGTTTCAATAGGGCTTGGAAATGATGCAAATGACGTATGAAAATGACTTATGCAAATGAGGTATGGAAATGAAACTTTACACATATTCCAAACATGGCGAAATGGCAATGGGAATGTCAGTCTGTCATACAACACAGTTCGTGAGTTCTTAACGTTTGAAATATATACTCATCGAAACAAATAAGGGAACACATGAAACTACAAGTGCTCCTTATTTCCAGCATTTCACCCACAGTGCAATACATACCTTATGAAGAAACCTGGAAAAGAATAAAAGAACACTTGTACTTTAATATCTTGTCAGTGTCTGTTTGATCGTAGCCAATGTGTTAAGATGGGCTTAAGAAGTTCGTAGGGCTACGGACGTTTCGAGAATAGCTAGCCAGGTGTTTCTTCTGTATCTGATTATGTGATTATTACAAGTCCTTGAACATAAAGCGAGTAGCATATACAACACATGTACTGAGTCAGCTATTGTCTCGTCACACATCACTTTCAGAAGGTATGCTGGAATGTTTATCGGAAGCTCCAGTAACTTGAAATAAATGTCCTAATACGATTCATAAGGACATAAAGCTACTTCACAACAAGTACGGATTATGTAACATATGTTATATTTGGGATTACTCTTTCTTAGTAAAGTACAGATTCTAGTACCTTTTGGGTTGAGTCCCATCCGGAAGTCGGACAACTGGTAGTCTAGACTGCGGACTTTGTGTATCCCTCTGATAAGTGTTAATTGGCACGGCTCCCACGGCCTAAAGCTATGGTTGCACAATGCCATTTTAGAAAGTGGTCAAATGTAACATATGTTATATTTGGGATTACACTTTCATTTTTGTGGAAGCCGCGGTGGCTGAGCGGTCTAGGCGTCTGACTTTGTGTGCTGGCGATTAGGTGCCTGACTCTGAGGGTGTGGGTTCGAATCCCGGATGGGACTCAATCCCAAAAAGTACTAGAATCTGTACTGTACTCTCTCTCTCTCTCTCCTACAGGTATTACCATACATCATCCACTCACTTTGTAAACAGGTGAGGGACCATAGGAGTGAGTGAGTGAGTGAGTTTACCTTTACGCCGCACTCAGCAATATTCCAGCTATATGGCGGCGGTCTGTAAATAATCGAGTCTGGACCAGACAATCCAGGGACCATAGCAGCTAGGTAGAAGGGGAACCGTGATTCTGTCTGGAGATATCTTACAGCTGCAGAACCAGATGCTATTTCCGTTAATACAAAAAGTAAATATAATATTTTATAGAAACCCCTAGCAACAATGAACCTTTTTGCTGCAGACATTTGTGTTCTGCTAACGTCGGGTGTAATGTTTCGACTATTGATTTATTGTGACAATTGTACATCGATTCCTTCTCTCATAGATTCACCATCTGCTCAGTACCGTAGTGTTACCGCACAATATCTGAACTGGGACATGTGAGCACGGATACATTTCGTTATTCAAGGCCGTCGAGGAGACAATATCACCTACAATGTGTCTGTTTGGCAAACACACAAGTCCAGTATACCGGTAATTTGTATGAAATTAAACACTATGGTATGATTTAAGTAGGTTTGAGATGATAGTGACAGCTGTGCATGCGAGGTATTCCATGACCATACAGATGCATCAGTATTCTGTCCAACCTTGAGTATTCATACTCAGAAAACAAGTTACTGCGTTCCCTTCAAAATTCAATAAATACAAGTGTCTTTAAACCCAAACAATATATTTTTTAAATACAGATTCCTGAAGAAATCAGGCACGACTAGCACGGTGTAGATAGCATCTGTGTTTCACAGGACAAGGCTGGTGATGTCAGGTAAATCTCGACATCTCTGATGGCCATGCAAGGGTCAAGCAGCTCCGAAGGTCTGGACAGCTCGGGTGAACGTGCAGGGGTCAAGAGGTTCCCAAGGTCTGGACATCTCAGGTGGTCGTGCAAGAGCCAAGCGGTTCCCAAGGTCTGGACAGCTCAGGTGGTCGTGCAAGGGCCAAACAGCTCCCAAGGTCTGGACAGCTCAGGTGAAGGTCGTGCAGGAGCCAAGAGGTTCCCAAGGTCTGGACAGCTCAGGTGGTCGTGCAAGGGCCAAAGGGCTCCGAAGGTCTGGACAGCTCATGTGGTCGTGCAAGTGCCAAAGGGCTCCGAAGGTCTGGACAGCTCATGTGGTCGTGCAAGAGCCAAGGGCCCAAGGTCTGGACAAAGGGCCAAGGGGTCTGGACAGCTCATGTGGTCGTGCAAGGGCCAAGAGGTTTCCAAGGTCTGGACAGCTCAGGTGGTCGTGCAAGAGCCAAGAGGTTTCCAAGGTCTGGGCAGCTCAGGTGGTGGCGCAAGAGCCAAGAGGTTTCCAAGGTCTGGGCAGCTCATGTGGTCGCAAGCAAGAGGCCAAGAGCTCATGGCGTGCAAGAGCCAAGAGGTTTCCAAGGTCTGGACAGCTCATGTGGTCGTGCAAGAGCCAAGAGGTTTCCAAGGTCTGGGCAGCTCAGGTGGTGGCGCAAGAGCCAAGAGGTTCCCAAGGTCTGGGCAGCTCATGTGGTCGTGCAAGAGCCAAGAGGTTTCCAAGGTCTGGACAGCTCATGTGGTCGTGCAAGAGCCAAGAGGTTTCCAAGGTCTGGGCAGCTCAGGTGGTGGCGCAAGAGCCAGGAGGTTCCCAAGGGCTCGTGCAAGAGCCAAGAGGTTTCCGCAAGGCTGCAAGGTCTGGACAGCTCATGTGGTCGTGCAAGTCTGGACAGCTCATGTGGTCGTGCAAGTGGTCGTGCAAGAGCCAAGAGATTTCCAAAGGTGCCAAAGGGGTTTCCCAAGGTCTGGACAGCTCATGTGGTCGTGCAAGAGCCAAGAGGGCTCCGAAGGTCTGGACAGCTCATGTGGTCGTGCAAGGGCCAAAGGGCTCCGAAGGTCTGGACAGCTCATGTGGTCGTGCAAGGGCCAAAGGGCTCCGAAGGTCTGGACAGCTCATGTGGTCGTGCAAGGGCCAAGAGGCTCCCAAGGTCTGGACAGCTCATGTGGTCGTGCAAGGTTTCCAGCCAAGAGGTCTGGACAGCTCATGTGGTCGTGCAAGAGCCAAAGGCCAAGGGTTTCTCCCAAAGGTCTGGACAGCTCATGTGGTCGTGCAAGAGGCCAAAGGTCTGGGCTCCCGCAAGAGGTCCCAAGGTCTGGACAGCTCATGTGGTCGTGCAAGGGCCAAGAGGGCTCCGTGCAAGAGCCAAGAAGGTCTGGACAGCTCATGTGGTGGTGCAAGGGTCAAGAGGTTCCCAAGGTCTGGACAGCTCAGGTGGGTCGTGCAAGAGAGGTCAAGAGGTTCCCAAGGTCTGCAAATGGTTTCTGCAAAATGTTCAAATGTTCAATGTTCAATCAATAGCGAGTGTGACTACCATTGGCGTCAATACATGTCCAAGCATGTCGGGGCCTTGATGACGTAAGATGGGGATGAATAACGTTAGGCACGATCCGTTGCCATTCCTGTAGGAGACATTGGTCCAGTTGTTGAACGGAGACAGGTGGCGCTGGTAGTCTTCTGATTGGCGATACAGGTAGTCTCATGAGTGTTCTTTCCGATTCATGTCGGGAGAACATGCTGGATTCGGCAAAACCACGATGTTAGAATTTGGAAAGATGCGACAGGAGAGCTTCTGACAGTTTGTGCAAGGTTAAGCTGGCTGAATGACAGAGTCTTTGATATCTAATTAAGAGTAGAGGCGCTTTTGCTGTGATGAGGAGTCTATGATGTATGAGTTTAGATACCGTTGAATTTTGTGCGGATTCGCTGGTTTGCTCGCGAGGCTGCTGATAAAAAGCTGAATGGGGGGGGGGGGTGGGGGGGGACTCCCTCCAAACCGA